TTTCTTGTTCTTATTCTCATACTTTCTTTTTAGAATTTTATGAGAATTATGTGCAAGCTAGGCTAGAGTATTTAGGTGAGGCTAGAGATGATCTTATATGTGTAGTGAACATATTTGGATTTTTTATTCTCCAATGGTTTGTAAGTTTTATACATTTGAGTAAATAATTTTCTCTTATCATATTTCTTCTTCTTATCAATATATTTTATTGTCAACTCTCATATAAATCTAGTCAAGCTCTTTTTATGTGATTGTTGCATTATATTATATATTGATCGGTATTATTTTATGAGTAGTCTTTATTCTCATAAGATAATGTTTCCTAATTCTAAACGTTAGAATTTTATTTACTCGAATACATTTTTAATTCATATGTTCTTCAAATATTTATTTTCCGATTGATTGTTTGGGATGTGAAACTTTCAATTGAGTCAATTTATGAATCAAAATCCAAATAGGTGAACAAAGCATATGGAGGATTCTCAAAGCCTTACCACTTTTATTTATTGAATTTTTTCCATTTTAAATTGTTCAAAAAATCATTAAAAACACTCGTTCATTTTCTTTGTTTGATTGCTTACTTTCCTAACGCTTTTTATTTGCTAATCATTTCTTGTTCAATTCAACACTTCCTCATGGGATCGACCGTTCAAATTGTACTACAATTGACCGCTTGTTTTTGTACACGTTTGGGCGTAATCAGGCGGTCATAGAATTATGACCGTCGGTCATAGTACTATGACTGCTTAATGGTCAAACTCTTAGTATGCCAGTCATAGTACTTTGGTTAACAACTTTGTTTGCTTTTCTTGTTTTTTTTTTGTATTTATTTTTTTTTTACCATTTTTTGTCATCTTATAAGAAAAGAAAGGCTTTGGAGGAAGAGATGTCGTTGATAGAATGTGACATCATAGTCAGACGATATCTTCACAAGAGCTTTCCAATAACATATCTTAAGGATAAACTTTTTCCTTGTGGCCGAATCACAAGCACATTTCTCACCAAATCTATAAGACCAATATAAATTGTGTTGATGGGGACCAATATCCCCGTCATTTCACAACCGACGTATCTCGAAGCACAGTCCCAATATCCTTTGTATTTGATGAAGACGTTCAATCCAGCAGCCATTCATAAATGATTTAGAAAACAATAACTATTAATCAACATGCAATTACTCCTAGTCGTCATCGAGTCATTAGAAATGATCAGTCATAACACTGTGTAATGGCCGGTCATAAGGCAGTCATAGTATGCCAGTCATAATACTATGGGTCATTTTAGTCATAATATTATGACCAGACGGTCATATCACTATGATTGCCATACGGTCATAATACTATGATCGGCTATTTTGACTCATATTGTTATAATTTGACTCATAGACAATGACTCATACTGTTATGACTAACTGGTCATAGTATTATAACTGAACATATAACACTATGAGTCATAATATTATGACTCTCAAGGTCAACTATGTCTTTGACGTGTTGGTCGTTACAATTAGTTTACATATCAGTTATAAACCATCCAAAATCTCAAATTGACGAAGGATATTTTCAATTCTTATCACATTAAGTTTAACCCAGTCATTTTTTTCAAGTTCTATATACTAAGTCTCCTGAAAAATAAATTTAAAAAGACAAAAAGAAAAGAAAAATAAAAAAAATTGTGTACCAACCTCGATCTGTGCACAATTGGAGTATTGGTGATGATGGAATGAAGGCGTAGGGAAGAGAAAGCCCGAGTAGAGAGAGAGGCCAAACATAAAGAAAGAGAGAGCTGAAAATGGGCGTAGAGAGAGAGAGAATGAGCGGGAGAGAGTTGAGAGTTTTTTTGAGATATTTTTAAATGATAATTTTGACCTAAGTGGCATAGAAGTCATTTTATCTCACACTGCTGACATGGCAATATTAGTTATGAAAGTATACAAAAGTGGTGCTAAAATTAATAATCATTTATTTAAGAGTGTTATTATTGAAATTAACCATATTTTAATAATCCTACACGTCTTTTAAAAAAATATTACAAATTAATAATTTATCTTTCTAAGTAATTTTTATTTTGATTAGTTAACTAGAAGTGAAAAGTGAAAAATTTTGTTCAATTGTTTTATTTTATTTATTATCGTATTAAATAAAAATGAAAATTTATTTTGTTGATAACTAAAAATTTGATAATCATGAGTAAAAGAGTAATTGTGCTCTATAATTTTGACACAAACACTAATAGAAAATATATTTTTGTTAACAATTCATAATTTAAGAGAACGGGTGTTATATTTTAAAAATTAGATGTTATGTAGTGAAAGTGTAAAATAAAACTCATAATCTATTGATTCGCGAAGAATACCAAAAAAATGAGAGTGTGAGTATTTTATTGATTCAAAGAATGTCGAAAAACAAATAAAGGAAATAATAATCTTTGAAATTTTATTAATCAATCAACTAAAAAATAAAAGTACAACTAATCATCTTTAAATAGATAATTTTGAAACTAAAATTAAAAAAATCTTACCCTATCTAAAATTATAATTCAAATTAAAGGATCTTATCCATGGAATGCAAACTAAAGAATCTTATCATGTTCTAAATTTGAAATTAAAATTAGAGATTTGGTTGTTGTAATACAACTGTCAAAACTTCTTTCTTAGCTGTTTTAGGGTGACAAAAAATTACATAGGTTTTCAGTATTAGTCTAATTTTTTTTTTTATCAATTTGACATGATTGAGTCTCTCGCATCCATAGGTTTACTAGAAGTGAACGTTCAGGCCAGATCAGACGGGCCTTAAATGATAGAAGGACGGCCCAACCCGGCTTTACGCCTGAGGCTTAAGACCGGTCCAGAATTTTATAAGGTATTTTTAAAATAAATCTTTAAAAAAAGGTGTTTGGCCAGCCTGAGTAAATTTTTGGACTCAAAATCTTAACTCAACTCGGCTTGAAAATTAGGATTAGATCGAGTCAGGCCTAAATTAACAATAACAGGCCTACGACTGACCTATTTGATCCGTTCTAATCTTACAGCTCGAAGTTCCACCCACGATCGAACCCCGTTCAGGACCCATGTGCTCCCCTCGATTAGTGCTGGAACTTCGGGCCCGCGGGCCGCCCGAAGCCTGAATTTTTTTGGGCTCGGGCGGGCAGGCGCATATGCCAGCCCGTTCAAGGTGTATTTTCGGGCTTGGGCTCAGGCAGCCCAAGTTTTGAGACCACGCGGGAGCTCGCTGTCGTGTGTGTGGTGGTTGCCTCCGCCCGCCCCCCGCCATAGTTTTTTTTTTAATTTTTCCGGCCAAACCCGATTTGCCCGAATGCCCGACCTGCCCGAACCTAAAATTTTGAAAAAACGGTCAGAAAAATGACCGTTGGGCTGCCCGATCTGAATTTTGCCCGAAAACCCAAATTTTACTCGAATACCCGAGATGCCCGAAACCCGTCCAACGGCTAGTTTTTGTCCGAACCCGCTCGAACCCAAACCCTAAACTAGCCGTTTTGCCCTAATTTTTTGAAAAAAATCAATTTTTTAACCTAAAAATTTCCTTGTAAATACCCCCATTCCTTACACATTTTTCTCACTCAAACTCTCTCAATCCCTCTCAATTTCTCTCATTCTCTCTCAATTTCTCTCAATCTCTCCCAATCTTTCAAATCTCTATTACAATTTTATCAAAAACTATCACATTATCCTAAAGCTCTATCTCTCTCTCAAATCGCTATTATTTTTTTTATAATGGATCCTTTTGGTTATAGTGGTATTCCTGTTGATGCTCAACACAACGTGGAAGAAGAATAATTTCTCACTAATGAATTTGTTACGCAAGAATCTACTAATCTGAGCCCTGGTGAACGTACTGGAGGTTGTGGTCGCAATGGTGGCGGGCGTGGAGAAACGACGAGTGCCAGTGCAACTGCGTCTGTAAGTGTTGCAACCTCTAGGAGGAAATCCAAGCGCACCTCGACAGTTTGGGATCACTTCGACATAATTGATGAGATCAAAAATGAAACTAAACATATAGCTCAGTGTAAATATTGTTTATCTAAATTAAAAGGTGACACTATTCACGGCACCACACACTTGAAAAGACACTCTGAAAAGTGTCTTCAAAAGCTTAGCCAATCCAGCGGACCCGACCTCCGCCAAACACAATTATCTTTTGATCGCGCAACCGGTGGTCTAACCACTTAGAAATACGATCCGCAAGTAGATCGTATGGAAGTTGCCCGAATGATAGCTGCTTTAGATCAACCACTTAGTTGTGTAGAGCATCCTAATTGGCAACGATATATTAAGGTTGTACATAATCCTAATGCACAATTTACGTCAAAAACTACTCTTAGAAAAGATTTATTAAAATTATTTAAAAAAGAAAAAGAAGCATTAATAAACCTCTTACACTCAACTAGCGGGTGCGTTGCGTTAACGGCAGATATTTGGTTTGCCGTTGCCAATAAAGATTATTTAGGTATAATCGGACATTACTTTAAAAGATTTGATTTAGATAAGAGAATATTAGGTTTTAAATGTGTTCTAGGATCACATAGTGCGGATTTAATATATAATATCATTTTAAATGTAATTGATGAATTTAGATTAAGAGATAAAGTAATGGCTATAACATTAGATAATGCTAGTGCCAATACAAAAGCAATTGAGTTCTTT